CTTAAAAATAAAGAGATTAGCAGTGGCCATAGTGTGAATGGTTTTATTGCCATCTGACATTTTGTAATACATTGTTACCATTCCAGTCCTTAATATGTAGACTAAAAAAATAAACCATAGATCTAAAAGTACACAGTATTAGTTTAACCCATAATCAATACAGAAGTTGACTCAAAGTCTGCTACATAGGCACTTTATAACAATGGAAGAGAGTCATTTAAATCCACGTTTCAAGGATATTTAACACTAAATTCTGAAAGTTACTTCCAATAGACTCAACTACCCACAAGAGCTGCTACCTGCTCACTGAGAGATTCTGTGTACGGATGTACTTATGTATATCAAAGCAGTAATACTCTCTTGTGCTCACTGAGATGTCACAAAGTATTTATTTGAAAAACTGTGCAATACTCAATGCAAAACTTAATTGGTCTGTTTTTGTTTAAGTGTAACACAACTATAACCAAATACATACACTATTTACAGGGTGTTAATAAGGCTGCTTAGTTTTTAAAATCTGACTCATTGTACAAACAGGACAGACACACGATAAAGAATGTTGTAGATATTTCCATGAAAGTTCCAAGCTAAGCACTTTGCAAAAAATGTCCCAGCTACTCCATAAGACATTTAAGCTGAAGCAGAAGTTACTTCTAAAGCAGTTCCACTCTAGCACAGAGCTGAGGTTTCTGGAGAAGAAACAAGCACTCGATGGCCCCCCAGGCAATCTGAATTTCCCACCAGTGTTAACATCTGTGTGACTTTGCACACTGCATATTCATTTACACAAACGTAAGAAAGCAAACCCAATTATTTCAGAAAAAAAAAAAAAAAAAAAAAAAAGGAGATGTTCCTAATAATGCATTTTCTTCAGGAAAACTTAATGATATATACAGTATATATATATATATATATATATAAAGAACAACAAAACACAATTGTCAGCATACAAAAATATGAGTTCAGTATCTTCTTATAACTCAAACCTAATGATGAAAAATCCATGTATCCTGAGACAGGTACGTACTGTGCATCTAACTTACCAATGCCAGTGTACTGCTAGAGTACAATTAGGAATTACCTGTATTTATCAACAATTACAGAAATAAAATACACAAAGCAACGCATTAGCTTTGGAAACTCTCCTGTCTTCATAACATTAAACAAGAACAGTGCAAAGTATGCAGACAATGCTGGCTGACATAACCATGAAGTAAAGTAAGAAGCATGGAGCAATATGTATATACACTAAAGTTACCAATTTCACCATTTAAATGAAAATAAATGAAAGATACTTTCCTTTCTTGAGCATCATGGTTAGTCATGATGTATATACTCACATTCAAGCAACTGTCTTAAATACGTTCATGCTACATCCAACAATCAATTAATTAAAAAAAAATAATCAGTTTGCTTATGGATCTCTCTTCCTAAAAGCAGATCAATAAAAACTGCTTTCTTTTTCCATTAGAGTATTTTAATAAATGAAATATGATTACTATAAATTCTCATAAACTTAATTTTTTTTCCTCCAAAGGAGAAGGAAGGCAGTTCTGATACGACTGCCTTGAAAACAAACAATGAAACAACCTCAAAACTCAATGCATCTGCTTAAACCCATGAAAGCTGTCTAAAGAGACACTGAAGGTGGCAGCTTTCTCAGTGGTCACTCTTAGAGTTGCTTCAGCTTCAGCTGAAAGCAGGGGAATTTATTTTAAAATGGACTCCTAACAAAAAAAAATTGTCATTTTTTTGTATTCATTTACTTTTACAAACTGCGAGGACAACAAGCATTATGAAATAAGTAATTTGGGAAACAAGCCTGAATCAATACTCATTTCTCAGAATCAAGATTGTTTAGCATCCTATTATTTAGCAGCGGTGCTTACAAAAAAGCCAGAGATCTTCAGGTCTATCTTAAAACGGAGATTTTCTCCAAGCATGAACCCATGGCAAAATAACTGTTACATGGCCCTTAACAATCCTTTCCCAGTTAAATCTCTTAGAGACAACCAACGAATTACAGCAGTATTTGGTAACTATCTCTGCGGATTCTTGAATTTATTCCCAGAAGAATTACACTTGTCTTGGATGAACAAGTAAAAACTCCGTACAGAATGCTTCCCCTAAGTCAGTACAACACATTATCATAAAAATAGGCTGCATGATCTGCTGCAGTAGAAGGAAAGATTTCACAAGCTCTGGGTGTTACAGTTCTTGTAAATTATCATTCTTGGTCATCTCTTCTTGTCATCTGGATGTCTAAAAATTTCCGAAGCATAAACATTCTGTGTGGAGAACTGAATTTTTTTATTCTGCACATTGCATAAGGATTAAAGACATATTCTATGCTTTCCAAACAAGAGAATTAGCTTTAGTCATGAACACACATACGTTTATAATTAAAGAATGAGCTCCCTGTATGTCCGTCAACATTAGATGTGCCACCTGTGTGTTCTGAGATCAGAGGGCCAAAATAATAGTTAGAAATAATGAAAAATATCTTTTTGGAAGAAAATTTGAGAAATTAGGCTCCTACATTTGATAGACAGTCAATGGGACATGTGCCTCACCTCCTCTGAAAGTCCCCTCTCTACATGTTACCTTGCCACCCAAGAAACAAAGGTTTAAGTCAGCCAGCATCTCTGCTAAACAGGCACATGATTTGCAGTATAGGTCGCCAATGAAGTTCACAGTGCCAAATAAGTTTTTGAAAACTCCCTCTGAATAAAAAAAAACATGGAATAAGGAACCAAAATTAGATAAACAAAGGAGAGGCCAAGACTTCAGATGCACACTCCTGAAACAATAGCTGCAGAATTTGGTCCAGGGACTGGCTCATAACTGTTTGTCCCTCAGCATTTGCCAATGTCTGCTACCCTCTGCTTTCAAGTGCAAAACAAAGCAGATAATTACCATATTGTACAAGAGACTGTCTGGGCATATTTGCATTCCTATCAGTGTCAATGAGATTAAAAAAAAAAAAGGATGCAACCAATTACAATGTGCAGCAGATACTGTCTTTTAGGTTGTGTAATTTGTCCTGTTACAAGAACCAGTAACTCTATTCAGCTAAGAGCTTGTCTTACAGCAAAAAAATATAATAAAAAACATAAAATACGCATGTGGGCAGATCTCACTGCAAGATCTGAGCATGGCCTGACTGCCCCATTTGCAGCATACCGCCATCGCATGCTCTGTGGCACCACCCCAGGCAGGAGCACTTTATGGCTTCTCTGTACTTCTGGTGTCTGAGCAAGCAGAAACTGAAGCATTTGGGGCACTTTTGCCTGGAGCAGGGTTTACTCCAGCCAACAATGCCTCACTGAATAAAACACATCCAAAACTATGAGATTCTGACTGGAATAGCAATTCTATAGATCATGACTCATGTGCAAGCATTAAGTCGCATTAGACAAAAAAAAAGCGAGTTCCTAAAAGCAATACTTTCTTTTTAATCAGGAAAATTAAAGTCCCACTGCTTCCAACCAGTACTAAGTAGTGAAGGCTTCAAAACACAAAGGACAAATTGTTACTGAAGTTTGTTACTGCAAGTTTAAAGAAAAAAATCCTACACTGAAGGATGGACCAGTAATGGATATGACTACTTATACAGAAACTAAAATATATGCGCAGACATATTTACCTGTGGATATATAAAAATATTTATTTTCTTAGCAAAGTTAAAGTCTGTGTAAAAACATTAAGAAAAGGGTAGGAGCCCTAATTCCTCCTTTGGAGAAAAGTAACAAGTCTCCCAGAAATCCTATGTAAAGAACACTCTTTGCAAGAGTACATCTTTTGAATTCTCACTTCATTATGGAATCATGTATTTTTGAAGATTTCATAAATAATTAGACAAAATTTGGTCTAGAAGTGATTACCAGAGCATAACTATAACCAGCTGCTGTACAAAAAATAAATTTTATTCAAGCACTATATCAGTATAGGTCCAGCTCCAATAGAATGTGTAGCTACTGCTAAAAGGAGAACTACTGCAGAATATACTTTTTTGCCTTAATATATTCACAATCAAAAACTTCATTTAGGGGCATTTTCTCTGAAAATACTTTGGCTAAAAGAATGGCCAAATCCAAAGCTATTTTCCCTGGGCCCTCAAAGTATTCAGCACAATTTTCAAAATAAATCTGTCACAATTATGAACAATGAACAAGAATTCTATATTCTATTCTATATTCTATGCTATATCAAACAATACTGACAAAATAAGGGAAATGGTGCACGAAACACCAAATCATGCTTCCACTTAAAACGCATCGTTCCAGTTAAACATAACAATAGCATCTCACTGTCGATACCTCAGTGTTGACTCACTAGCCTAATGCTGTACAAGAATATACACAGCTCTGAAAAACTCTGAAATCTGAGTCAAATAATGTAAAACATCCACTAGACAGAGTCTGAGATTCAGGCTAATTATAATGGCAGTGAAAACAGGGGAAAACATCAACTTCATATGCCATGTAGGTACTCCTTCTAAAAGGGTACAGCAATGGCTGTGTTTACTGTGCTTACATGGGGACGTTTATATTAGTAGTCAGTCTGTAGCCATTAGGCACAAGTTCTGAGGTGAGTTTTTAATCTTTCACTTTCATTTACATTATGTCCTTGAAACACTGATGTCACTGTTTTCAGAGGTTATGGTGCTGACAGGAAAAATAAAAAGGGATTATCAGTGCAAAGGGCCAAATGTGAGGTGTATGCTCATTACCAGGCCTAGTTTATTTAGGCTTTTATTCCTTCCACAAGAACACATCCCCGGGAGTGTACAAGTGAAACCATTCTCTCTGAACAAGACATTTGTTTTCAATCTGCTGGCTATGCCTACTGTGTGGCTGAACAAAACACATCAAAATGAACCTGATTCCAGTGTAAAATTCCTAAGGAAGACTCCCATTCTACTGGCATACAGCTGGAGGGCACAAGTTCCAGAAATGCTTTTAGAAAGTCATTTTTGCCAATAGAGAATATGATATTTCTTTCTTTATCCTGAGTAAAGGTTGGTTGTTTTTTATTTATTTATCAAAGGCCCAGGCACGTACTGCTATAGTGCAGTTAGCATTTGTCATACAGTTCCAGTGTCCTAAAAGCCGTTATTTGATTGTTTCCTTCATTCTTCTCCAACTGGTGGTGGTGGCTGGCACAGCTTGTATAATCTGACAACAACAACAAAAAAAACAACAACAAAGCAGTTGTTACTCTGAGCGTTCAGTCATTATTAAAATAGGTAAGTTTAGAAGCAAGCTAAATCTAAATCTTGTACTGCAAAACAGCAGGTACTGAATTCAGTTTAATAACATTGATATAAATCCAGTAAAACCTTATTCATGATCATGATGCTTAAACTGACTGTCCATACTGTTATTAAAACCCGCATATCTCTAAGCAGTTTAATAAAGACATCTCTGTTTAGTCAAATTTTCATACTTCTGCATCAGAGACCCGTCAGGACAAAGCAAGCTTCACTAATCCAGTTACCAGCTGTTGCTCTGAATCTCTAAATACTTTTGGTTGCTCGGTGAATCCAATTGCCTCAGTTTTGGTGTGCTAGCATAGAATCTGACCTCACTGTAACAGTTCCCTTATAAAACTGAAGCCACTTGGGTCTTGACATCCAAGAACCCAAACAGATCAGACCCACAATATGCGAGCACAAACTCTTCACCACTTCTACATTTTAAAAGGATTCTGGATTTCCATTAATGCCTTTTGCATGGACTTACAAGCACCTGCTAACATGTATTAGCAAGTGTTAACAAGTGTTAGAAAAATTGAACTTATGTTAGGAATATTGAAAATAAATGGCAGTCATTCTGACCTCAGGCTCATTAAAGGAGATATTTTTTTCTGTAAGCAATACCAGCATACAGTATCTCCACTAAAACAACAGCAAATAAAAACAGCAGTAGACATTATCTCATGTGCAGATTACATATTTTCCTTGGGGAAAGGAATAACAAAGAGACGAGATCAAGTGTGGTGAGGCAAGGGGAAAAACTATTAGAAACCAAAATGAAGAGACACAGCACGTGCATTAATACTTAACACAAAGGATATATGAGGTTGGAGTACTAAAACAGAGTAAATAACAACTGGTTTGTTAGGTCAGGATGCAAGAAGATAATAAATGATACACTGTTTTTGCTATTATAGATATTTACGAAGCTCACAGTATGTGAGTTTTCCAAGAATGTTTTACAAATTTGCTTAAACATCACGTTCATTTATGTGACCATGTTTTAACTAATCAGGAACTTCACTTGCAAGTGTGTTGGATGCACCCGTCCTGTTCTGGCCAAATTCATACTGCTCAAAAGACTTCAAGAAGCTTGAAATATTATTTTATGCCTTAGGTTCTGCTAATACGAGACAGTTGTTCAGGCAGGTCTGATCCTAGATTGCCTCTAGGTTAATCACTACTATGAGAAGTGATGCCCTCATGCTCTGGTAGTCAGCTGATGGGTTTGCTTTTGAAGCAGTGATTTTGTTATATCTTATTTAATCTACATGCCTGTAGATTTTGATAGAGAACTTCGTCTTTGGAAGATTCACTGTTGCAAATGCTCTTTTTCAAATTATGCTTGATGCATGAAACTATTTCTGAAATTTTTTAATGGCATAAATGGACAAAAAGTGGTGATATTGCTGCTAAACCTATTTGCTGGCTCAGCCAAACATTAGCAGTGTTCTTCGTATTTACTGATACTGATGGTCACCACCAAAGTTTGGGATGCCAGTGTGACTATTTGGCTTGGTCTACTTTCTTTAGTTTGTGTGGAAGCAGAGTATTGCTTCTGTTTGAATAAGCCATTGTAATATTTCGGGGGTATTTTTTCTAGTCCTAGCTAGTTAGTCACCCAAGCCCATAGATAACCTGTGCTCCCATTACATGTTTTCATTTTCTCAACATGGATCATTTATCCTCTTTGAGGGTTGAATATAAATTGGGCCTACTTAGAAGAAGTTTGTAAACAAATAGGTACATCTTGAATTCTCAGGGTTTATATTAGACTTCTATCAATGTTTGTTCAATGTTCTACCTAGGAAACAAAAATGTGAAGCTCAAACTTCTCAGAAAGCAGCTAAAATGCAAATAAATATTTTCTAGATGACTACTGAGCCACTCAGTTGCCAGTTCTGTCTCACTGCCATAAGTGGTAGAGGAAGTTGAAGGAATCCATCTACTCTATCCCTCACAGAGCAGGCAAGATGCCTGTATATCTCCAACAAATGCTGCTATGCAGATTCACTCATACACTGTATGTTTCAGATGCGCTCCCTTTCTATAATCAGATTCTGCACAAACAAGGCACAATGTGCAGATATTTGTTATAAACAAATTACGTGCAGTAGTCTGATTCCCTACTGAAAGAAATGGGAAAATCTGAGAAAAGGGAACAAATTGCATAGAGAGAAAAAGTTCCTGAGTACTACCAAAATCCTGTCAGAAGTCTTTCTTTGAGGCTTTGGATAGTATATGTTCATTCACCTGGTTATCTCTAACGGATATTATTAATTCATTCTTTCCGTACTTAATTTTAACACTACAGGGAGCCTGTTACATATTCTAGATATCTGCTTTTATATATATATATAACATATATGTTATATATATCTGCTTAGTTCACTCACTGTGTTCTGAGTAGTTAACAGTAACAAAAAAGTTTTGAATTGGTAGAAAGAAAAAGTTTTAATTGGACTTTAATTAATAAAACCACCAAGAGAGATTTTAAAAATGTTTTGTTATTCTCATTTCAAAATATCATGCTTGTTAAGAAACATTTCAGGTACCCGCAATCCATCACAGCATTAGAGTGCTCAATAAATATAGAACACTCACATTTTTCTTGCTAATGGATGTTTCAGAAAGAGACAAAGAGAGACTACATCATCTCTAAGAGTAACAAGAACACAGTTTTTCTAAGCTACCATAGTACAATATTTCATTAAAATAGGTTAATGGATTTAGTTTGAATATTTCCCCAAAACCACTAAACTTCACAAGCGACAAAGGACTTACCCCAGTGCTTTCATAACTAACAAGAACTGTATTTCATTTTTCAAGAACGTTGAATGTTCAAGCAGGTTTCAAAATGCCACACAGCCTGAACTTCTGCAACTAATTACTTTAATTAAAATGGTACAACTAAGAATGTAATTGACTCTGTACACATTCAGACTTACAATTTAGTACACAGTGCAGTCAATGTTTATTGTTAACTCTTGAGCTTCTAGGACAGAATTTGGCACAAACTAAACAAACTATGGCCCAGGATACAAACAATCAGTTACCTTGGAACAGACTGTGGCGTTCGATCCCTCACTCCCAAGTTCTTGGCTGTATTTTGCACTCTTGCACCCTGTAAAAGAAAAAAGAAAAAAAATCTGCTTAATTAATTGTAGCTCACATGGAAACATTTCTGGGCTTTCTAGATGAACATAACAATTGATTATAAACAATCAACACATACGGTCAATGTTCCAGAGCAACTCTCCTCCTTGGAAGTGAGAAATAAGTTACTTCATAGCATTAATTCTCAACTTAAAGAGCACATGACTACAGAACAAGGTAAGCCTTTCCCCAGAAACTCCCCCAGAGTTAATTAATTCAGAGTTAATTAATTCATAGCATTAATTCTCAACTTAAAGAGCACATGACTACAGAACAAGGTAAGCCTTTCCCCAGAAACTCCCCCAGAATTCAATCACCAGTCACTTGAAACTTTGTTCAGCAGAAAGCATGTATTTAATCATTTTCAGTGATTCTCAGCTTTTCTTTCCTATCTCATCTTGCATCCATGAATAATTTTGCATCTATAACATCCTTGTGGAAGTAAATCCACATCTTATGTAGAAGGCTAGATTATTATGTTCACTTGTTTTGAACCTGCTGGTTTCATGTGACACCCTTAGTCCTCTACTGGAGGAGACAACAGTCAGCCCCTATCCATCTCATAGATGCCACATGCTTTTTTAGACCTTTGTCATAACCTCTTTCCCTCATGAAGGTGAACAATCCTACATTATCTGCCTTTCTGTCCTATCTACAAACTATTCCCTACCTTTGATCATTTTTTTTCTGTCTCTCTCTGACCCTTTCCCATTATCGTACATCCTTATGCAAAGGATTCGATTCTGTGATCATACAGTTCAAAATGAAGAGTCATTACAACACGATTCTAAATTTTTGCTTTCTTTATTTGCTATCCTTTCCTAAACCAATTTAACTTCTGCCTAGCTTTACTGATAGCTACTGAGAACAGAGCTGATGGTTTTTATCCTGAGGTCTTAATCAGGAGACATAAAGGCCAGCTCACAGTCAGTTATTTTGAGTTTGAATTTAATTTAGGGTTTAGATTTTTTCCTCACTGCATCATTGAGTAGTTATATATACTGATTTACAATTGTCAAGAAGAAGCAAACAAAGCACTAATATTTTTATGAAAAGAATAAGAAAACTCTGGAACAGACTCCTTGGGAATCTTCATTACAGGAGTTTTAAGAACAGATAAGACAAGTGTCTGTCTTGAATTATCTAGGAATAACTGATCTGTGTTGGCTAAAAGGTCGGGTATGTTGAGTTCAGATCCTCATCACGTTTTCTCAGTAAAATCTGTAAAATTTTGTCACTATAAAAAAAATTCCATGACAGACTATCAGTGGCTGAGATTGGTATATTGTTAATGTAACTGAGAGACATAATATGTATGTACATAGGAAAAATATCAAAATTAATTACAAGTAAATCCTAAACTTCGGTTCACTGACTACCTCTGAGAACAAAAAGAGACTATTTTTACTTGCCTCAGCCACTAGACTAATTTTAGTATCTCACTCACATAAAATCTGTTGATTCAAAAAGAAGGCTGGCTTTAAACAAAGTATAATTTATAGTTTGGCAGGAGGACAAATTAGACCTTACAACCAGCAGATTCATAATTCTTTTGAAGAAAATCCCACAAGAATTACTATCAACTTGCTACCATCTCTTAGTATCTACTGAGCACCATTATGTCTTTTTTATTTTCAAAAAATGATACACTTATTTATACTCTTCCAGCATTGTTCCTATAATAATATAATGATATAATCCTATAATAATGTAAATATTGACATATTTGTCTCATACATGTGTAAGAGACAGCTTGATTTTGCAGTTCCAGAATACTTTCCTCTGTGTACCAGGACTGCCTGTGCACGCATGAAAGATTCTGTTAGCTGAAGAAATTTCACCATCAATCTGGACTCTTTTATAAGAACTAGCATTCACACTGCCATGAGGAATGACGACAGGTTTAGTTTCAAGCTACACATTAATTTAAGGATGGCAAAATCTAGTCACATAAAGAAAATAGATTCTCTTTATGGCCCACTCAAAGAGCTCTAAATCAGCATCATTCTTAGGAGAATATTCAAAATGTGGTACTATTATTACCATTCTGGAAAGGCTTGAGAAAATGATTTATCACTAAAAAGACAATAGAAATTCTCTCTTAATCTTTTCCGTTCATCAGCTTCTTAGTTATCTTTCTTTTTGTAGCCCTGTGCCCTACTGCATTTTCACCCCTTTTTAGTGCATTCTGAAGATGCGCTTCTGTCAGCAAGCTTTAGGTCATATTTTGTGGGTACATGTGTTTATGTGAATGCACGTTTATGAGTAAATAGTTATTAAAAGCATTGGTGATGTTTTGTCAAAATTCATATTTCTAACATCAATCTAGACAGGATTAGCAAATGAAAAACAGGTACCACTTAACAAAAACCATCCCACAGACCCAAGTCCATACCAACTTTCATAAGTCTATTTCTTTACGTCTTGCAGAACAGGTGCTTGTGAGTACCTAATTACAACTGACAACAGCAATTACTTTGAAAATCGTTCCAACATTTTTTGCTATTTATGAGTCTTGGTAATGACTTCATCTAATTTAGAAGAAAAATATCCTGAGGTCATCCATTCAACTGAGTGTCTTCAGTTATCCAGTACTGCTGCCCCAAACTGTAAAAAACATCACTTTCTACAAGAAATAATATGCCTCTGTGAAAAGCTGATGCTGCCAGGAGCTAACATTCCCAGTTCTCCAGAAAAGCAGTCAGAATAAATGTTCTTTCACTTACCATTCCTTCTGGTTAATCTCTCCTTATTCAACCCAACACTGATGGTGTATGTATGGAAGACTTTTGTTTCTCTCAAATAAAGACCTTTAATGCATACATAAATATCAAGGGAGGGAAAAGATACATGTATTGTCCTTACCTAAGTGTTCTGTAACAAATCCCAACACGCTTTTTTATTCCCCTTCAGTTTTATGATCTGCATTATGCTCCTGATAGTCAAATCCTACTTATGCTTGAAGCATTAAATCCAGAAAATGTTTCTAGAAATCACTGTAGAATGTTGCTGGAATTAATCCAGAATTTAATGGAGGATTATATATCTACAACAGGAATCCAGGACTGATTTAAAATTAGAACAAAAGATTACTACTCTATTAAATGCCATAGTGGTTTCTCACAAGAGGAAGAATGTGTGAACAAAGTCTGGCTTGATATACTAGGATTTACAGTATCTGTGGGTGGTATTGAGATACTGGTATCTTTAATAGCTATTGATCACCTACTGTTTTACTGCAGAGGAGTAGGCCCACAGCAGTCTTTTTCCTACATCTTTCTGAGCAAGTCTCAGTGCAATTATAGCTGCTCAGGTTCGTTAGCAAGTTACTTACACTTTGTCTTCCATTTTCATTTAATGAATTGCAGAAGACACAGAAATGAATCAGCGTTTTCGAAAACTCCCTGGAACTGAGCATGAAAATATGTTGTTTGACAGAATGAAAGCTGGCATATAGGCAGAACGCGATGCCCAGGCTTTTTTATTGTTAAATAAATACCCAAATCTGCTTTTTGTCTCAAACTTTGAGAGCAAACACATCAATGTACAAAATGTAAGTTTATCCTTTTATGGAAGTAGACTGCTTTTAATATAAAGTTAAAGCTGTAATTTTAAGCAGTTCTTCACAACGTGATTCAAGAACCTTGAGGATATTTATTCACTACAGAAATGTAATTTATGCACCGAATAAGGTGAAAATCAGATATGAAAAGGAATGATCCTAATTATTCAGATGCATCCTTTTTTTGTCTGCATATCTTACATATCACTGATCAAAATCTATGGCTTGAGAATACTTATATAACTGCTTTAATTGCCAAAAGTTTGATCTAGAATACATGTACTTCTCCATTTACTGACCTAGAAGTATAGTACAGTCATTTCGTCATTTTTGTAATTAAACTGTGATTTCTGCACAGAATAAGAAGTGGAAGTTAGGAAAATAATAAGGTAGATGTAAATTAAAAGTCAGAAATAATGAATCTTGTCTTATCTGTGATTAATGAATCACAGATAAGTACTTTTTTTTTTTTTTTTAAATTCACTTAAAGGCTGAATTTTGTCCATCTTGGAATTTTGCACCCTGCTTCTTGTTTACGCTTTTGTCATGAGGTTGAAAGCTGGAACAGGCTGGGATATATGTTCCACATGCACAATACTGATTAAGCCTCCACACAGCTTCTCTGTGATCAAATGAATAGGTTGAGCTCTTTAATCTTCACTTCATAAAGCTTGTCTAACAACCTCTGGATATTCACGCTCCTCCTTTGAAGTCCTTCCAAGTCACCACATCTTTTTGAAACCACATATCTGATAACAGGATATTCTAGAAGTTGTGCCATTACAGTGTAGACTGTATTTCCCATTTTCAGTCTATACTCCCTTTTAATACAGCAATTTTTTTGTCATACATCTGCATTAAGAGTTCATGTTGCGGTGATTATCTATCCACAGCAGCATTGAAATTCTAATATTTTACTATGACAAGATCAAAATACACAGTGTGAAATAAGCACAGTGTCCTCAGGAATCTTGCCTGCAAAGTTAAGAATCACAATACTGGGCTTCCCCTTCTTCATTCAGCGAGTCACTACTTATTAACTATTGTTAATGATCTTAAATTATTCTTATGAATGATAATAATTAGAATATTTGTTTTCATATTCATTAGACTATACTAAAGTACGATGATGCCACAGCAGTTTCTTTACAAAAACCAATAAGCGCACTCACAACCCTGTAAAAAATGGTGAACCTTTTACACGAAGATCATTTCAAAGATAATTTTAAAAACAACAAAAACACAACGAAACCAAACACCAAACTAAGAAAACTTGCAAAGACATTAACATAACAGTCAGATGGGGGTTAAAATGTTTGGCCAAGTCTTGCCAAGGAACAGCAAGCTCTTACCCAAAGAGAGCACCTTACCTGCTTGCGCATCACATCTGTAGCTTGCATGATATAGCGAGGTGGCAGCCCGTGGCTCCGAGCCAGAATGATTGCCTGCTCCAAGGTAACACTCAGGGTACAGCTGCAACAGAAGGCTGAGGTCACCAATCTGCTAGCAATGGTTTGCTTTAAGTAATTCCTATATACTAACACATTTCTAATTTTCTTTTAAAAAAGGTACACGCAGAATGACAGCATAGGAGATCTGACTCCTAACACCTTCTGATAGCCCAGACTTTGCAGGTATTAGTTTGGACACAAAACACTTCTGAAATGGAAAGATTCTGAGTGTAACCAAAGTTACAAGCACATGTATTTGCTTTTTATGTTTGTTAAAAATAAACAACAAACAGTAATCCACAGTGTTGACTATGGCTTGGCTAGTGCATGAGAAAGTGAGAATACAAAGAGCAGAATTTCTTCTAATTGCAGAAATCTCTTTCCAAGTGACTTCCACACAAGTTATCTCTTGCCCTTCACCACTGATGCAGACCTCAGCTTAGCTTGGGTATTCTCATGTCCACTTCTACAGTTTGCAAACCAAATAAAGGGATATTACTCCTTTTTAATTTAAAGAGGAAAGAAAGGAAGGTGTTCCTTCAAATAAACCATCCTCTCCTACTTCACCATCTTTTTCAAGTAAATGTGTGAGCACAAAAACTGCTCCAAGTACCACATCCCAGTAAAAAGGCTGTAGCAGCTTTGTCAGAGCAACCAGGAAATCTTTGGAGCCAAAGAACTTGGCTATAGGAAACCTATGATAATAACAGACAAGAAGGACCAGGGAAAGTCATTCTGGACATGCCAACTGGCTCGTGGTGAGGGTAAGGATGGATAAGCAGCTTCTCATACAATTACGACCAAAGCTATAGAAGACTTCTAGATAAAGGCAACAAAACTGTGTTCGAATGGGTGGTTGCATTTTAGACAACACAAGTGTGAGGGCTGCTATCATCCCAGAGGTGACAGTATCTGCATTCTGTACCACTAACAATGCAATAAAAAATAAAAAACTGCAATAACCAAATCTCTTCAAGCAGAAATATGACGTGCATTGAATGATCCTATCTCAGCAGAACCTGACAAAAACTCTGTATTACAAGTTCAAATAATAAAGCTCAGACCGTGGTTAAAATGTACTTATGAGTACGCTTTTGGCAAAATCCTGACCAGAAGATTCTGCATAGCTTACATTATGCACACAGAACAGACAATGTGTTTCAGTCAAACACTCATCTTGCTGAGCAGAAGATCTGTAGGAGGAAAAATGTATCTGCACTTATTTTCTTACTGAAAACAAAAAACAAAAAGCAAAAAAAAAAAAAAAAAAAAGCCCACAACTAATACACCCTGACGTGTTTGAAGTACCGCCAAGTAAATTTATGGACTGTAAAAATTTTCACAGTAGTTAGTTTAGAAGATATTAAATTTGATCATATCTTTACTAATGGCCCTTTGTTAAAAATGTATAAGCTAAGTGAGTTTCTCCGGTAATGAAATCATTTTTATTCCCCCATTTCTAGCATACACGGACCTCACATAACTTGAACCAAAAGTACACTCATCTTTGAATGGTTAACTATCATTCAAAAAAGAAAAAAGAAAAAAAAAACAAAAAACATGCTCATAATATTTGCCAGCACCAAAATCTAAATATCTGACCCTCAAGAACAGCCAAAAAAGCTTTGTCCTATTCAAAACTGAAAAAGCTAAAGTAGATATCCCAATTTGATAGATGTAATCTAAGCCAGGGAAAAGGGGTAGAAAGGTTATCTGTAGGTGTAATGGATGTTAATGGGTTCACAGTGCAGCTTTCAACCAACCAGCTGTTGAGCCAGCTTTCCAGTAAATCCCATCTTCTTAGAACCCAAAAGACTGAAAGAACAGAGAAATCATATTCTCCATGAGTGAATCAAAACTAACAAAAGTATACTGTAAATGAAGGTCAGCTTGAAGATTCAAATACTAATCCTGTAATTGGAAAAGACTGCCAAACTTCTCCCTATTCAAAACCTGATGAATTGAGCACAGGTGATGGACATTATGAGCCATTTACATTTTTACAATGCCAAGAACAATTCAGAACTAAGGTTACCAAGGGTGTAGACATAATCAAAGTGGGAAAAAACACGGAGTAAAATAGCACAATGAAGGTTTCTTTAATGAGCTACTACAGAGATAGACTGTTTGTATGTTTCCTGATTATACTGTAGCAGTTGCCAAAAGTTGAAGAGATCACCTCAAGGTAAAAAATAACTATATTAATTCTGATAATATTATTAAAATGTCCTTGAAAATCAATAGTGAAGACACTCAAGATAACAGCCATGATGATGCTGACTATCAGTACAAACCTTTTATAAAACTTTATATTCAAGATTGAGGAATACTGGTTAGATACATCCACTGTTTCTTTTAAATCATGTTCTGATTTTTTAAGGTATGTTAAAAATGTTAGAATAGGACCAGTGGCATAATTTCATTTCATATTTCTTTAGTGGTACAATACAATATTGCTAGATTTTGTTTCTCACAAGTCACACAAGAGGTCTGATGAATGGCAGTGCTAAAACCAGAATTAAAATAAAAATGATTGCTTGTGGCTTTTATTGTGTGATTATGACAGAAAGTACTACTTTTGAAACACAGCAAACAACAATGAAAGAACTTCATTTTAGTTGAATCAGTTAACAAATCAGTTAGATGGTGTCCTGTTTTAAAACTGATCGTAAACCTTTCCTTGGGGTTACACTGAACTGAGTCACAAGTAGATCTGTATTTACATGCTGGTGCTTTCTCCCAGATTTTCAAGTATAATTCTTGAATCACTACATATTCATTTTCACAAATCAAAATGTTCTGGAAACCAGCTGTAGAAGAAACTGATCTACTCACAAAACAGCAGACGGTATTAAAATGTACAAAGCGATTTAGAAGCAGTTCTAACCACTGGAAGTTTCTGGTCACCGGGATGCAATCAGTCCAGACAACCCTAACAAGGAAAATACCAGAGGAAAAAGAAGCAACACCTTCTAATGCTATCATAAGATTATGTTATGGGAAGCATAAATTCCAAAACTATATATTTTAATTTTACTCTGTAAACAAATCTAAATCTGTTTTCACTCCCTCTCTTTTCTTCTTATCTCCTCTTATATGGAAGAAAAACCAAAGACCCAAGCTCATCCTCTCAGAATTCGTGTCAGTCAGTTAGAATCACAGATTTCTCCCCTTGACAGATTACAGCAGCAGTCAGCACAGGCATTTGGCTTTCCCAGCATGACTGGGCTGAGAATTCCTCATCCATCCATTTGGTTTCCAAGGGGGAACAGAAGGGGCTGCAGCTGCTCCCATCCCCTGCCTGCTATCTCCCGTCTCCCATCAGTCATGGCAATATTGATAAGAAGATTGCATACAAACTTTCAATTATCTGCTGCTTGAGACCATCCTGAACAAAAGAGGCTAAATCATTTTCTGTCACCAGTGTCCCCAGCAGAATTCATTTGTGGTATTTTGGTCATTGTTTTTTTGCTTTTCGGTTTTCTTTTGTGACTGAATATGATTTTTATTAACCATTTGCAAATCTAGTGGACAGAAAGAAATATCTACACACTGAAAACCAGATTTGTAACAGAGGAAAAGACTGAAAATCTCTGAAAAGTTGATTATTTCATAGCATCTTATTTAATGTCACCTGAAAGGAAAACTAATTTGAGCTGATGTACAGCACAGCACCTACAGAGCTGCCACTGAGCAAACTGTGTATCTATGTTACCAGAGTTAAAAGAATCTACACTGTTCAAATCATTGGCAGGTTTCAGTTAGGATTCCAGCCACCCTGCATCCAAAGAGGCAACAAAGCATCTCCCAGAAAAATACCCTAAATAAAAAAGACGAGGTGAAACAAGTTGGTTTAGTAGTTATCATATCAGTTACCCAGTCACAGATGTTGAGATGGATTATGTTCTGGTTACGTGAAGAGAAAAAAAAATATGAAAAGGATACATGCATGCTTAGCCTAATTAAAATCTAAGGCTGCTACTCAAAATGTAGTTGAATGCTCTTGTTATACTTGCAATAATTCTAGAGCAGGCATTACTTTGGGGATGATTCTCTGCAATTACTAGTGATGACTGGGTAATATATATTGTATACCCAGTAATTCTGTATATAATGCATATTATATACCCAGTAATTCTGACAGTAAAACCAAAGAATAACCCCTAGTAAACTCAAAAGAAGAGAAGATGTTGTTGAGTACTATAAGAAAAAAAAGCACAAAAACTGCACATATGTCAAGCTGTAGAGTCTCTTACATTTTCTAAGCTACTGACATTGTGGGAATCCATGCAGGCAAATACTTAAGTTTCTATTCTCTATGCCCGTACACTGAAACTTCACAGAACAGAATTTTTGCTTTTCTCACAGGGAGAAGGAAGTTCAGCCATCTAGCAGGTACTAGAGATAAAATGCAGTTGAGGTTTGTGCAATAAAATACAGTGTATTATTACATATATTATACAGTGAATAAATACACTGTAATTTACAATTACAATAAAACTACTGGAGTTCAGGACTTACGCTCAGTCTTTTTAAGATCTTATAGTGAAGCTGAGATGTTCTCAGGAAGATCACTGCCTCAAAATCGGCGTTGGATTGAACTCAAGCAATAGGGTTTGTTGTGGTTTACCCCAGCAGACAGCTGAGCACCACATGGCTGTTCACTCACTTCCCCCCTGCAGTGGGATTGAGGAGAGAACTGGAAAAAGGTAAAACTCATGTGCTAACAGGAGTCTGATAGGACAGAATAGGAAGGGATAATAATATTAATAATAAAAGAATAAACAAAACAATTGCTCACCACCTGCTGATTGCTGCCCAGCCACACATCAAGCAGTGTGCACCCTCTGCAACCCACCCCCCCAGTTCTACATGATGCCATACGGTGTGCGACATCTCTTGGGTCAGTGCAGGTCAGCTGTCCTGGTTCTGCCCCCTCCCAGCTTCCTGTGCACTTCCCAGTGCCTCAATGGCAGGTCGGTGTGAGAAGCTGAAAAGTCTTTGACTCAGTGTAAGCACTGC